AATTCTGGACTCACATGCCCACAAGGCAACACTCACAAAAAAAAAAAAAAAAAAAAAAAAAAAAAAAGCATGTACCATATTTTATGCACCCATTCCCTAACTGCTGAAAATGTATAATGTTTCTGATTTTTCACTCTGTAAACATTGATGGGATAAACATTCTTATATATTTCTTATACATAAATCTTTTTCAGATATCTGGTTATTCAATTAGAACAGAATCCTAGCAGTGGAAGTCCAAGGGATAAACAGTTTTGTAGCTTCTTACTAAATACTAAAATGTTTCTTCCTGAAAAGTGCCAGTTGACTCCCTCTACCAGTGAGAGTTCCTGTTTCCCTAAATCCTTACCATTCTCACATATTTAATGTGTTTATGTTCCATGTTTTATGTTAACTGTAAATGGTAACAAGTGAATTAGGAATGTATCTACTACACAGTGAGAAAATTTAAGGCTTGGTATTTTATGTTATAGAGTACAGAGAAATAACACAAAGCAATGGCTCACATATGAGAAAATAAAAAATTAATCTGTAGAATTTCAAAACCATAAAGAACTATTGAGCTACTTGGTAGGTCTCATGTTTATTCATCTATTGTTTTCAGGAACTAATGGTAATTATAGAGTGTGTGTGTGTGTGACTTATTTTTCTAAAAATTTTGAAGTAATGTTTTTAAAATGTAAATTTCAGACTAGAACTGTAATATGCTAATAGCAAAATACTGCTCTGAGGAACAGCATTTTAGAAATAATGCTTCAGGCTCGCAATTGTCACTTTGTAATTGAAAAGTTTTCTTTAGTTGACTATAATAAGGAAGGTTATTGTATTAGTTCATTTTCACACTGCTATAAAGATACCACTTGACACTCGGTAATTTATAAACAAAGGAGGTTCAACTGACTCACAGTTTCATGTGGCTGGGGAGGACTCAGGAAACTTACAATCGTGGTGGAAGGGGAAGCAGACACCTTCTTCACAAGGTGGCAGGAGAGAGTGTTAGTGTGTGAAGGAGGAACTGTCAAACACTTATAAAATCACCAGATCTCATGAGAACTCACTCACTATCATGAAAACAGCAAGGGGGAAAACACCCCCCCACGATCCAATCACTTCCCTCCCTCAACACATGGGGATTACAATTCAAGCTGACATTTGGGTAGGGACACAGAGCTAAACCATATCAGTTATCCTATTTCTTTGCTGGAAAATTTAGGAGTTTTGAGATCTGGATCAGAATCTAACTTTACAAATTAATAAATATGTATGTCCCTGTGACTTACTTTCCTCAGGACTGAAATTCAACTGGGAGGCACTAGGACAGCTATTTCGCTAGCTTAAAGCTGGCCTCAATGCTCATTGTTGCTGGGCCACACTAGCTGTTAAACCTTTTGAGTATCATCCTTCTGATACGAATATCAGTCTGGTAGTTTGCAGCTTCTTACTTTTGTTGTGGGTTCAAGGATGCCTATCTAAATCCTAATAAAGTCTGTGTAAGATCTGGAAGGTAGCAATTTAACCTCTGATGATACATGACTTTTACAAAAAGAGCTGTAAAAGGATGTGCTTCCTTACTTAAGTGGTCTATTTGCTTTTTAGCTCTTCAGAAGAGAAAACTGGGAAGTTTACTACTTAAGATGAGTCTTCTACAGAACTTTTAATGGGACTTATGGGTTTACTATTGTCTCAAGTTCTGGGAAATGATAAAATATGGATTTAAATATGAATTATTGGGCTGGGTGCAGTGGCTCATGCCTGTAATCTCAGCACTTTGGGAAGCCGAGGCGAGTGAATCACCTAAGGTCAGGAGTTCAAGACCAGCCTGATCAACATGATGAAACCCCGTCTCTACTAAAAATACAAAATTACTTGGGTGTGTTGGCACATGCCTGTAGTCCCAGCTATTCAGGAGGCTGAGAGAGGAGAATTGCTTGAACCCAGGAGGCAGAGACTGCACCATTGCACTCTAGCCTGTGCGAGACAGAGTGAGACTCCATCTCAAAAATAAATAAATAAATAAAAATAAAAATAAATTCTCATTGTAAAAAACTGGTGAAATCCAAATAAGATCAGTACCTGAGTTAATAGTATTATACCAACTGCAATTTTCTGGTTTGACAATATATTATTGATAGAGGCAATATCAATATACTATTGATATTGACAAATGCCTAGGCAGATAAAAAAGGGTCTCTGGAGAATATCTCACCTGCCTCACAAGTGTTTACACCACATATTTTTGTGCAGATAAGGGAACCTGCACAAGGTCTTGCCAGGGCATGCCCACAATGGACTGGAGGCCCACATGCACTGGGGAAATGGGGTGGAGCCACCAGGAGTTCACACCTTATGCAGGGGAGTAGCCTGTCCTCTTCAGCTCATGTGTGGCAGCCTGGTATTCAGTCTGTGAGGTGGGAGCCTGCTGGCAGGACCTTCTCTTTTTGCTGAGAGTTTTCTTTTCACTTGAAAAATTCCACCCTCCTCACCCTTCAATATGTTTGCATGCCTAATTTTTCCTAGTCATGAGACAAGAAACCAGATTTAGCTGAACTAAGGAGCAAAAAATCCTGCATAACTATGGTTTTGTAACATATTAGCAAAAGCTGGATGAAGAGTACAAGGGAACTTGCTGTACTATTTTTTCAAATTCTTGTGACTCAAACTGTTTAATAATATAATATTTAAAAAACAACAACCAATGCTTGACATGAAGGTGTTAAATATTATTTTCTTTTACATTTTGTTAACTATTTATTTATTTATTTATTTATTTATTTGTTGAGACAGAGTCTCACTCTGTTGCCCAGGCTGGAGTGCAGTGGCATAATCTCAGCTCATTGCAACCTCCACCTCCTGGGTTCAAGCAATCCTCACGCCTCAGCCTCCCGAGTAGCTGGGATTACAGGCGAGCACCATCACACCTGGCTAATTTTTGTATTTTTCATAGAGACAAGGTTTCGCCATGTTGACCAGGCTGGTCTCAAACTCCTGACCTCAAGTGATCCACCCACCTTGGCCTCCCAAAGTTCTGGGTTTACAGGCATGAGCCACCATGCCCAGACTGTTAACCAGACTTTTAATCATCTCTTTATGCTATTTTCATGTTCCTCTTTCCTTCTGATCCTTCCAGGTCACTAATAACTTTGTGACCTGTTATTTTTCACACTTGTCTCTATGCTTATATAATAGTATACAAATAATTAATTCATATATTATTTACATTTTCATTTATTTCATAATCATGTGATTAAATTGTATATACTTCCCTGCAGATTGTTTTTCTTACTTGAAAATACATTGTGAAAAATCTCTTCAATTTACTTGGTATAGATGGAACTCTGTCCTTTCAGTGGCTTCATTGTAGTCAATGAATCACACAGCTTATTCAACCATTCCCCTACTAATTGATGTTTATTTCCTTCACAATGTTTTGCTACTCAAATATTTTTATACTAAATATTTTACAAGTGTATATTTTGGACTGATGCTTTTATATCTGTTGGATAAATTCTCAGGGATTTATCTGTGGGATTACCAGATTGAAATAATATGATTTAAATATTTTTAAAGGTATTTTCAGACTTCTTTCCTAAATGGCTTCACTATTTCACATTTTCAGCAGTGAAATAGAGCGTACTTTTTCCTGCATCCCTACCACAAGTAGGTGTTATATACAATCCACACTTTGTGTGTTCATAGTTAGAAGTTATATTTTGCTAATACATTAATTTATGTTTCCCTGACAAACAGTGAGATGCAGCAGCCTTGCAATGTTTATTGATCCTTTGGATTTTTGTAAATTGTTATTCATAACTTTTGCCCTTTTACTACTAGATTGTTTTTGTCATTTTCTTGATAATTTGTAAGAGTTCCTAATATATTACATATATTATGTATCTTTCATATGTATTGCTAGTATTTCCTCTAAGCTACTTTTTGCCTTTTGTCTATGTCTATGATATCTTTTGCTATACCATCTTTAATTTTTTTAAGCTGTGAAATATGTCTATATTTTTCTTTATTGTCTTCTTAGTTTCCTCTTTTTTTTAGGCTTTCCAACTCCCAAATTACACATGTATTATGTAATTTTTTTCTGATGCTTTTGTTACTTTATTTAGTTGTTTTGCATTCATATAGAGCTGATGTACTGATTATTAAGCTATCATCATTCAGCTTCAAATCCACCCATCTGTATTCTGCTTTGTGCTGTGGGTCTGGGACTCTGCAAACCACATTTCTGCTTTGCCAGCTGGTTCCCTGCTAAGCCCTGCCAATGGGAGGCAGGAGAGGGAGACTGGATGGATAAAGGAGGAATACAGGGCTTGATCTTTTTTGTCTTTTCTTTGTTCCTGTCAGCATCACTTAAGCAAAGAATCTTCACACAGTAGTAACTAGGTTCTAGAGTGGCAGTGGGTTTCAGTTTGTGGTTTTTCCAACTCTTGCAGAAACATCCTCATTGCACTCCCTCAGAAATGCCAGCCAATGGGCACCCCACCTGTCCATGCTTTCAGCGATCTCACCTCTGGTTCAATGAGCCGCATCTCCAACCTTCTAAATTTTAATAATCCCCACTCCTTCCCTTTGTTCCCCAGTCCTACGGGTAGTAGCTGCTTTATACATTTTCCCTATGATATCTCAGTATCCTTTTTCCGCCTTTTTATTCCCTGAGTACCTAGTTAACAATTCTTTATATTAAATCCTCTCTGTTAAAATAGCTGGTATGGTTTCTGTTTCCTGCCTGGGCCTTGAGTGTTACTGTTGAATTTGTCAGTCTTTTCCTTTAGAATTTTTGCATGTTGTGACATGCTTTTGATGTTGGGAATTTCACAGATACCAGTTTTTTTTTTTTCTCTTTAAATGGCTAATTAAGTGTCCCAACAGCATTTATTGTCTACTTCGTCTTTCCCTACTGATTTTAAAATATGTTTTGATACATAGAACTTTAAAATTTTTGTATAGTCGAACTTATCAATTCATCCTTTATGTTTTCTTTTTGTTTGTTTTGGTGTTACCGATAAAAAGGATAAGTTCAGTACCATTTATCTGTGTCATGCCCTCTCTTACCTTCCACCATGAAATGACCCTTGCTACATCTTGGCACCATGCTCTTGGACTTCCCAACCTCAAGAACTGTGAGCCAAGTAAACTTCTGTTCATTACAAATTACCCAGTGTATGATAGTCTGTTATAGCAGCAGACAGTGAACTAAGACACTCTGGAGTTCAGACAATAATCACGCCTGTTTTCTTTCTGTGTTCTTCTACTATATTATACTGCCTCACTTAAAATAGTAGTTTTCAACATTTTAAAAATTGAGATCCACTGTAAGAATATATTTTGCGGCCAGGTGCGGTGGCTCACGCCTGTAATCCTGGCACTTTGGGAGGCCAAGGCAGGCAGATCATCACCTGAGGTCAGGAGTTCAAGACCAGCCTGGTCAACATGGTGAAACCCCATCTCTACTAAAAATACCGAAATTAGCTGGGCGTGGTGGCACGTGCCTGTAATCCCAGGTACTCGGGAGGCTGAGGCAGGAGAATTGCTTGAACCCGAGAGGCAGAGGTTGCGGTGAACCGAGATCACACCATTGCACTCCCGTCTGGGCAATAAAGCAAGACTCCGTCACACACAAAAAAGGAATGTATTTTGCTCTGTCAATGAGTATACATACACATTTCTATAAAATTGAAACAAAAATTTCATAAAGCAGTATTTGTGGCAGAGATTTTTACTACTTACAACTTCCAAGAAGCCTCCTTAAATAGAGGTTTCAATTTTCCTTTTCCTTTCCTTTCTTTTACTTACTGACTGAAATGTGGGCATGATGGCTTGAGCTAGAATTGCCACTTTGAAGCATGAGATGACCTTGAGAATGGAACAGCAAGAAAGAAGCAGTCTGAGTGAGAACTTCGTGGAATGGAGCCACTTGATGCTTAGTCTGCCTACATTTGAAGTTTAACATGGAAAATCAATTTGTTGTTTTGTGTTTTACTGTTACTCCCAGCCAAAGTTAATGCTTACAAATACATTTTCTGTAGCGTTTATGCCAATTTACACTTCCATCAATAATGTATGAGCACTATTTCTCCATAGCTTCACTACAGGTATGTTGTCAAACTTTTGGATTTTGATAATCTTGAAAGTGAGAAAAAATATCTTTTAATTTGCATTTCTCATATGAATCAGGTTAAACAGCTTTTAGTATGTGGAAGGGTCATTCATTGCATTTCTTTTTCTGTTGTTTGAAGTAACTTTAGATGGGTTAAATTTAACAGAGTTTAATTGGGCAAATAATTTGTGAACTGGGAAGCCTCTTGAACCAGAATAGATTTAGAGACACTCCAGTGCTGCCACATGGCCAGAAAGGATTTATGGACAGAAAAAGGAAAGCAATGTACAGAAAATAGAAGTGAGGTACAAAAACAACCAGATTGGTTACAGCTTGGCACTTGACTTATTTGAATACTGAACAGTTGGCTATCTGTGAGTGGTTAAAATATGGCTTCTGTGATTGGTTGAGACTTGGCTACTTGTTACAAAAGTTGGTTTCAGTCTGTTTACGTGTCCACTTAGATTATGCTTCAATATGTACAGAAAAACCTTCAGGCTGAAATTAGAAGGAAGCAGCTTTAGTCTAAATTTAATTTAATAATTGCCACCTTTTGGTCAACCTCTTCACCTCTTAGTCAACTTCTCAATTTTGAGAGGTTGACCAAAATTTTAGGCATTGATGTCACTCTGTCACCATTGTGATGTTTTTATATGGTCTCAAATCCCTCTGAGAGACAGTAGAACAGCGGGCTTTGTAAGATGAGAACATGGACTGCAGCTTCAGGTTACTTTTTTTTTTTGAGACAGAGTCTCACTCTGTCAACCAGGCTGGAGTGCAGTAGCATGATCTTGGCTCAATGCAACCTCCACCTCCTGGATTCAAGCAATTCTCCTGCCTCAGCCTCCTGAGTAGCTGGGATTACAGGCGCCCACCATTATGCCCAGCTAATTTTTGTAGTCTTAGTAGAGACAGGGTTTTGCCATATTGGCCAGACTGGTCTTGAACTCCTGACCTCAGGTGATCCACCTGCCTTAGTCTCCCAAAGTGCTGGGATTACAGGAGAGAGCCACTGCACATGGCCACTTTTTTTTTTTTTTATAAGGGTTATAGCAGAGAGGACCTCCTTGTGCTGGAATCTGTTGTTTTCAGCAGAAAACAAAACCTAATCTATTTTAGGATCTATTTGTTTCCTTAAAGTTTTAGTTTAATTCTGTTTTATTTAGTATGAGTGACTCCATTTTGGTTTGGCCTGATCTGTTGGCACCTAGTGTATGAGCTCAGTCCTAAACAATGGCCTCCCATAATTTTGTTAAAAAATTTCCCCCTTTTGGTCAGGTTCTCACTTAGGTAAGACCAAAATGTAGGGCTTTAGTATCACTCTCAGTTACCATCACGTTGGGTTTCTGGCTTCAGCATATCATTCATAGGTTATGGCACCTTCACGGTCATACTTTTTTTTGAGTTTTTGTCATCCTAGTCAGAGAGGGGCTGATACGGTTTGGCTGTGTCTCCACCCAACTCTCACCTTGAATTGTAATAATCCCCATGTGTCAAGGGCAGGGCCAGGTGGAGATAATTGAATCATGGGGGCAGTTTCTCCCATATTGTTCTTGTGGTAGTGAATAAGTCTCATGAGAGCTGATGGTTTTATAAATGGGAGATGCCCTCTACAAGCTCTCTTGCCTGCTGCCATGTAAGATGAGACTTTGCTCCTCATTAGCCTTCTGCCATGCTTTTGAGGCCTTCCCAGCCATGTGAAACTGTGAATCAATTAAACCTTCTTCCTTTATAAATTACCCAATCTCATGTATTTCTTCATAGCAATGTGAGAACGAACTAATCAGGGCCCATTTGACATTCTATGCATGGCTGCAAGAGAATTTAAAGAAGCTTGTTGTGCAACCATGGACTTTGTGGTAGAATCTGCTATAAGGTCTATTATGAGGAATAAATGTTTAGTCATTGTCTCATTTACTCCAAATCATGTAAAAAGAGACCTAGCAAATGATGTCCATCCAAGATGAAGGCCTCCTGGCAATGTTCTCTTTAACCTATGACACAAGCTAAGAGGAGTGGACCAATATTTTGTTTTTGATTCATTATGAAGCAACAAATGTATATTAAAATTTTTCACACATGTTGGTCCTTTATCTTTTATCAATGCATAATGTTGTCCATGTATAAGTTTATAAGGTTGCTTAAAAAATCCTCTACAAATAAAAGTATACTCCAGAAGTGTACATAAGAGACCCATTTTCTGGTTTTATTGTGGATGTTTCTTTTGAGACAGGGCTTTGCTCTGTTGCCCAGGCTGGAGTGCAGTGGTGTGATTATAGCACACTGTAGCCTCGAACTCCTGAGCTCAAGTGATCATATTACTTCAGCCTGCTAAGTAGCTGGGTCTATTGGTGAATGCCACCAAGTCTAGCAAATTATTTTTTATATATTTGAAGTAGGGAGTCAACCCACAATTTGACCACAAACAGTGTCTCACTGTGTTGTCCAGTCGGGTCTTGAACTCCTGGCCTCAAGCAGTCTTCCTGACTTGGCATCCCAAGACACTGGGATTACTGACATGAGCCACTGCCCCCGCCTAGTTTTATTATTCTTGGAGGTGTAAGGAACAAATTGACAGGTAAGAGCTTCATGATAGTAGAGAAGCCTTGATCATTAATCTGACATCTTGCAAAAGCTGTCCACATCTAGGATGTTGTCTGTTTCTGAGGAGAAACTTTGCTGGTTAGTGTAGGAGTTCAGTCAGGGTGGTGGGAGAAATTGTAAAATAGATATAAACCTTCTTGGGAGGCTGGAAGGTTTTGCGAAAGCCTCAGGATAGGGTTATGGCTGAAGGCAGCCTAATCCTCTTACCTTAAGTTAATAGCTGAGAGTAGGTACAAAGGAATGTAAAGGAGTTTATCTAAAGAGCTTGTTTACTCATGTGGTGCTAAGACTGACCTGGATCATTCACGGGACTGCTCTCTCCTGGGAGGGTGACCATCTTAATTATCCACAAGTGTGTTAACTCAAAGCCTTTGTCATTAAATCTGTACTAAATAAATGTGAACTTCGCTGGCTTATCAAGGCCGACGCTGTGGACTCAGGCAGCAGATCCCCTTAGCTGTGCTGACGGGTAAAATACCTGTGTCAGTGTACATCTTTCATCCATTTCTGGGTAAGGGTCTGCGGGTCAGACCCAGCAGGTGGTGCCCCGAGTGAGGAAGGCTGCCACAAATTGTGATGGAACTCTCGAAAACGAAGGTGAAGAAGACTGCGCAGTTGGTAAATCAGTAAGTCACTGGTGCCTGCTTGGGATTTCCAAGTTCGAGGGAATTGTTCAGGCTAGGGTTTCATCATGGGACAACAGTTATCAGCTCAACAGCAACAGTATATAAAAGTATTGGAACAGCTGCTTAAAATTAGTGGAGCCCATCCTGTGTGCACTTTTCTCCACCTTCAGCAATTGCGAGATCAACGTATGCATCCTATTTT